GCGCCCAGAGGGGGTGGCTGTGCTGGCGGGCGGGCGCCGGACCCTCAGGAGCTGTCCACCACCTGATGGGGCAGGGTGACGGAGGAGCCGTTGACGAAGGAGCCCTGCTTCTCCCGGCCCTTGAGGAAGAAGGTGAGCAGCTCCCCTTTGCCCTTGACGTAGATGGCTCCCCGGCGCACGAAGCGGAAGCCGTACTCCTTCAGGATGAGGTGGGTCTCCTCCACCACCTGCGGGGACAAGCAGACGTGGTGGGAGGCCGGAGGGGTCCTTGACACGGCGAGCAGGGACCCCCGTGTGCCACTCGGGCAACAGGTCTACCCACCTGCCCCATTGTCTTGGCGCGCATCACCTTGCCCCATTCCCAGCTCGGAGGAGCCCCTCAGCCAGCCCGAACCCTCCTGCGTGCTCCTGTCAGCGCTTTCCCCCTCCCACCCAAAGCCCGGGGTGCTTTGAGGGCTGCAGCCCCCCACGGGTTGCTGATTTTTGCCCCCCCTCGTCGCCCCACCTGTATGTTCCCCATCACGCCGGTGGACTCCATCCTGCTGGCCACGTTCACCGTGTTGCCCCAGATGCGTGGGGGGGCTGGGGGGCGCCGATGACGCCCGCCAGCACGGCCCCCTTGTTCATGCCTGTGCAAGATGGGGAGTAGAGCTCACCTCCGTGCCTGGTGACACGGACAGGACATCCTGGTCTGCAGGAGAGTCCATCCCAGGGGGTGGGTCGGGACAATGAGGTGTCCTCCTCCCCCCTCCAGCCCTGCTGCCTTCAGCTGCTGAGCTCCAGCTGCTGCCCAGTGTCCCACCACTCGCGGGGAAGGAGGGACAGGGGACGCCGAGGCAGACCCTGCCCCACGCTCATGGACTTGCCTATGCGGAGCATGAAGTTGTTGAAGGACTGGTAGTTGATGTTCATCAGCGTCACCTTCATGGCTAAGGCAAAGTCAGCCAGGTCGGCCAAGTGCTGCCAGCGCTCCTTATCTGAGAGGGTCTCCTTCTGCAAGGGCAGCGCGGGTCAGGCCTGCCCACCCCTTGCCCACTGTCCCCCCCCCACCATGGGGATGCCTCACCTTGGTGCTGTAGCCGTTGGCGTTGGCATCGGGGGTCACTCCAGAAGCGGCCATGTAGGTGCTGCCGATGGTTTTGATTTTGGTGATGCACCGGAATTGGGGTTCATCCAGGAGCTGAGCCGTGGAGACAAGACCTTCAGGCACCCCAGGGCCATGGCAGGTCCTTCTGCCCCCAGATGGGGCAGGAAGGGAAGGTCTGGCCAGGCCCCATACCATCCCTGTGGCCGGCTCCATCCTGACTCACCGCGTCGAAGTCGGAGATGATCTCGTTGAGGAACCGCAGGCACTCAATGCCCCCGTTGTTGATGCTCTCCTCCGTGTAGAAGTCCGCAAAGTTGGGGAGGGAGGCGAACATGACGCCGATCTCGTCGTAGGACTGGCTGTACAGCTCCTGGGGACAGGATGGGACAGTGGCTGTGAGCCGGGGAACGTGCCCACGCATGACACCACCACCTCCGGCAAACCCAAACCCTCCTGTGAAGCCATCTCCTCTTGGCACGTGAAAAAACCCCCCCCCAAACAAATGGGGGCAAATCCCTCCCTCCTGGGTGCCCCTCACCTCGTCCCGCTTCTTGGAGCCCAGGAAGTGCCGGGCCACGTGCTCGGGCAGCATGTTGGTGACAAGGGCCTCGTTCCAGCGCCGCATCTCGTAGACCCGCTCCTTCTGGTCATGGACATCGATCTTCCAGAGGAAGAGGGTCCTGGCCAGCTTCTCCACCTGTGGGTGGGAGGAGATGGCTGCACCCCCAGTTCCCACCCACCAGTGCGTCCCCTCACGGGGGTGAGATGGAGGTGGTCTCTGCACTGATGCGGTCCTGGAGAGAAAGGGCTTCCTTGGGTGGGCTTCCTTGGAGAAGAGCTGATGATGCTGTCCATGGCTGGGGACAGATCCTGCTGCCTTGGAGCTTGCAAAAATAAGGGCAGGGGCCGAGGGTGAAGATGCAGAGGGGAGGGGAGCTTCCCGGGGTGGGGGGGCGAGTCACTCACGTGGCGAGAGAAGTAGTAGAAGCTGAGCATCACGATGAAGATCATCGCCGTCATGGAGTACTTGGAGGGGACCAGCGAGGACCTGCCGGCAGAGGCGGCAAGGCGTAGGTGGGCGGTGGGCACGGCCATGCCCCCCAACCCGTGCCCGCCCCCCTGCCAGCCCTTACGTGCTTTGCTGGCCACGGTGGCGGTCGTACTGGTCGAAGATGTGCTCCCAGGCGTAGATGTTGACGGCGCCGGTGGCCCCGGTGATCAGCACCATGAGGGTCAGCTTGACCATGTGGCTGACCTGCACCAGCATGATGGTGGCCACCAAGGCCAGCAGGGCGATGTAGCTGTAGTACTTGGGCTGATCCCCGCAGCCGCCCGGCCACGGTGGCCCCACCGTCCCGTTGCCCATCCCGCCGTGGTCCTGCCGGCAGCTGAGCTGGGGGCACGAGGGCAGGGTGAGGAGGGGGACACGGGGACGGGATGCACCTCTCCTCGGGCTGCATGGCGCCCAACAGGACTGGGTGCTTTGCGCAGCAGAAGGAGGACACCCGACCTAAAATGCCCCCATCTTCGGTGCAGCCTTGCTAATTGCTTTAATGATCGGCCTTGCAAAATTATGGGCTGCCTGGATGCAGGTTTGAGTAGGCTCAGCCCTGCTGGTGTCTGGGCTGGTGGCTCACCATGTCCACAATGTCGGCCATGGTGACGATGATGATGGCAGCCATGGCCCAGGTGTTGCGCGCCCAGCGGGTCCTGTCGATCCAGGTGGAGAAGGCCACGAGCTTTTTGGGGAAGACCTGTGGGGTGAAGAAGGTGGGGAGGGGTTTGCCCAGGCAGGACATGGCGGTGGGACATCACAGCGTCTATCACCATGAGCGGTGGGCCTGTCCCGTCTCACCCGAGGGAAGATGGCAGCCAACGAGCAGAGGGTGAGGATGAGCAGCAGGATCTCCCCCACCATGAAGGTCACATAGTTGGCCACCAACCTGCCAAAAGGGGATGGGTTTGAAGCCCGGTGGGGCTGAGTGCGTCTTGGGGCTGCCCGTCCCCACCACCTTCCCACCATACCAGGGGTCGATGAAGACCTCCACCAAGGCAGTGAAGAAGAGGACAACGCAGGAGCAGCTGAAGGCAGCCCCGCTCTGCTTCTCCTTCTCCACCGAGTAGCGCGTCTCCATCTCGGGGTCGATGAAGCGCATGGAGAGCCGGAAGGTGCTCTTCCCCTTCAGCCTGCCGGTGACACCGCCCGTCACCGCCCGGCGGCACTGGGGACCT